TTTCAGTGTAACATTGTGAATGCAAAATTTATGAAATATAAAACTTAAGTTTGTCGTGAACAATCAGTTGAAATTTAGTACTTTTGTCAATTCAGAAATCGGCCATTAGTCTCTTAATGACGAATAATAAACATTTCCATTGCGTACATATAAATAAATAAAATAAACACTCACCAATTTGCCTTTGGAAAGTTTTGGATGTATTAATAGATTTGACTGTGACTGTACTAAATATTTTAACTTATGAATAGTTAAGTGCGGCTCACGGGCCACTATCGGCATCTACTGCTGACCAACAATTTGCTTTGCTAATTTTCTAGGTCATTTGGATCGTCGTTTATTTTACTGTCTGTTACGCAGTTCGTTACTAGAGAGAAAAATCAATTAATTACCTAACGAGACAGACCGTTCTTCTTTGAGGCAGGCTATTAATTAAGCTTGAATTCTTTTATTTTTCAATTAGGTATGCAATTTACATGAATATCCAAAGGTAATGAATTTATATCCTTTGTAAAATGTTTGAATCCTCTTCCACCTACATACTGACATTAATTAGCAATTATCTTTTGCTGAAGTTTGTTACAGGTTTAATCTTATTAATGTAAAATGACGGGATCACTTAGAGATACGAATAACTGATACGATATACCTGTATTATAATATTAAAGAATTCTAATTAGTTAAACATAATTTTAATGTTGTTTCTGTTACGTTAACTCAAACTAAATCTTATTTTTCTTTTATCAAACCTACTGTGGAGGTCGTTTCTTTTCCTCGCTACCGTTGTTAAGTCAATATTTTATTAACCAATGCGATTCACTTTCGTTCATTTACATATAAACTTTAATATTTAAATATGTAACCTTTTTTTTTGCTACATTTATACCATTGGCAATACTAGCCGTATGATGGAAATTGTCCACTGATTAAAACTAACCTACGTGTAAAACATTCCCTTAATTTACGTAAATTTCATAACTAAACAATTAATTAAGAACGGGTGGAACAAAATGAAATTGCTTGATTTTTATTTTTATTTTTTATTACTTCGTCGTGGCCCAATTGCTGAACGATTAATAAAATGAAACTAATGATATTCTATTTGTTTAACTATGGCAGTTTGTTATAGTGGGTTTAAAAAGATTGTCAGTTTTAAAAAAGAAATTAGTCGTAATTCAATTTAAACATATTTTTATTCACCATATTTTCTCTAATCCTAATAATGTTTAAGCATAACATTCAAAGCATCATCATCATCAATCCAAAGCGATCGGTCCTGCGCCTCCGGCATCAAAGTATAAATTGAACTAATTAAAAAAATATACCAAAAAAAATATTATGCCAACAAAAATAATTATATCAGAGTGTTATTAGTAATGTATATGTATAAAAATACAAAAATAATCATATGAAATCTATGATTCTACACGCATTAATTATTAATAGTACCGCCTAACGTCATTGTTAGGCCATAACAGTCAAATAAAATATGGTCATACGTGACTTTATTAGCTTTAAGTTAGTACAAAGTTTGAGGGTCAGCGAGTACCTACATAATACAATTTATTAAGTTAGTTTTGAAGTCACTAGAATAATTTAATCCGTAAACATTCAACGCACTAATTCGAATAATAGGGAACAACTAGAGGTATTCGCGAAAGCACTTCATGTCTACATAAAAATCATTTTCGTGTGAAAAGGTAGAGAGATATGTGAAGACGTCCAGCGTCAAAACTAGATAACGTATAAAACAATAAGGTTCTAAGGGTTGCGTGACTTAAAAATAAACGGTGTTCTTATTACCTACTCCACTCTCGCGTGTCCGTCTGCCCATCTGTCTGTTTGTTGCTGGTCACGGTTAATGTACTCTATTTCATATACAGGTGACATAGCGGGCGAAGTGGTGGAAAAAACAGCTAGAATTGAATAAATCCAACTTGTCAAATATATGCAAGCGTTATACATTGTTGTGAATTTTGACTCTATGTTTGACCAATCGCCTTATATTTTTTCGTAAGAGCAGCCATTCACAAAATTGCTTACTTTAATTATAATGGAAGACTTAAGGGAAACATAAATTAATCTTGGAAAGCATCACGTTTCTGAGATATGATTCATAAAGTTCTATTGCAACTTTACTAGCTAACATTAAAGTAGGATGTAGTGCTACAATACAATCTCAGACTCTTAGGAGTACCGGTAGGGCAATTCTGCTAATGTTAGCGTAATTTTAGAAAGCCAATAGCGTTTTACACTACTACTCTTTATGATAGAGTTATTGTTACTAGACCATTAATTTGTGAGTAAGACATTGCACTAATAATATTGGACTTCGGGTAGATAGAAATTGCAAAACGCAAGTTGTTGCGATTATATTGTGATGCAATTATTACTTAAAGATCATTTATATTGAAATACGTGTCTTCTGCGTAACTAATTGAATGTCATAAGACCGTCATTAACTTTAGTTATATAGATAGATAGGAAGATAAACTCATAGTGAAGGGAATTATTTTTATATCTCTCACGCATAAAGAAAGAAATCAATTAACATTCACATGCTTTCTAAATTTTGATGCTGCTTACCTAACGAAGAGATAAGAAAGAGACTTTAATCGAAATATAGTGTCGATGTAAAATTTAACATAAATAGATAGCGTTAAAATTTATATTAATTATAATAGAAACCTAAGTGTAGTAAAAAATCATAAAAAATGTTACTTAAACGAAGAACTTCACAAGTTATCTCGTCTATATTATGTCATTCAGAAGATAGATTTTGTGTATTTATTTAGAAGATAAATAGGTGTAGCTTCCTGTAGGAGAATTTTTATATAAAATCGATCCAGTATGTACCTTCAGAGCCAATTCAATGCAAAAAAAAATCAACCAAATCTTTCATTTTTCGTATAAGTATAGTTATAGGTACATTTTCCTACGCAAGATTAGCTTCTCCTCAGTATCTATTCACTTTATACATTCTAAATTTATTCGCATTACATCAAAAGGATACTCCATAAATAATCGGGTTACAAAAAGATGTTTCTAGGGGCACTCAACGCGGTGCCGAGTGAGAGACTTTGAATGCTAACCCTTTTGCAAAAAGTGTAGTTTTGCAATGCACGATCATGATATCTATAAATGGTTAAACGGGTACAGCTTTTGGCTCGGAATGTTGGCACTAAGGATAACATTTTGTAACCTACCCAACACTTATGAGCACCTTAATAAGGGCGGAATATTTGCTGATACGACAATAGAAAAAATAAAACATATTGAATAAAGATTGAAATTTAAAATATTTTCTAATATAAGACTGTCTTAAAATTTTCTTATTTTTATTATATAAAACGAGGTCTTAATTTAGTACCAGATTTATACAATTGTCCGACCAAAATAAGTTAACTCGTCATAATTTGATCTAAAAAAACTATATTTAAACGCTTCAATAGCATTTTTTAAATTATTAGTGTAGTTTAGGCAATGAATTGAATATAGGTAGTTAGTTGCCTAGTTATAGCGTACTTGAATTTTTGTAAAGTAAGGTCATGGCCTAAACTATTATGATTTCAAATCTTTCAATATTAGGCCCCGGATACAAAGTGATAAATATATATGTTTTTACTATATCAAATTAAAAAATATATGATATAGTAAGATTATCATAAAAAGCGCGAAAATTTTCATCATCATAACATAATAACCCCATTATTTGGATACAGATCTTCCCTATGGATGTAATCGAGAATAGGCCATGACTCACGACATGCGCTTAGCAACAATTTTAGGTTCAACAGAGACCAATGGCTTAACGTGCTTTACGAAACACGGAGAAATCTGAGACGAAAAATTTTTGATGCCCCATTCCCTAACGCGCCCATGTGTTTAATTTTCACTGCATCGCAGACTAAATGCGCTAACCGCTGCGTTATCAATCTCCTTTTTCAGTTATCATAGTCTTGTTAAAATTATAATTATTGTACTTACATTGTAAACACTGATTCTTTAATCTATTAAACGAAAACCACCACATTTTAATAAAAAAACATGATTGATTTTTAAATGTAAATCAGTTAAATCAAAATGCAATGTACGGTAACGCAGACGGTATTCCGAATTAGGAATAACACTTATTCTTATTTAAATGCAAATTTTTAGTGACTAGACGCAGACAGTATTACTTTGTTCATATTATCATAAGAAAAGAAAAGAGAATAATGTCAGAAGTTTATGGTACCTAGCAGTAAAAATATAAAACTTCAGGACTGACAAATTATAAAATAGGACAAACCACAAGATTCTGGCCACTGGCCTCCATTTGGCAATTTGGGACATTAGGCGTCCTAACCATATAATATTACCGTGTTAAATGTTGAATTAGGGCAAAACTTACACCGTTGCCAAGTACGATGTATTAAAGTTCATATCTTCCCAGCTTTTAAAATAGCCAAATACATGTCATAATCTCAAAATGGGTATATTGTGTCATCTGCTCTATGACATAAGAATTGACTCATTACAAGTAAGCTAAATTCCCTTCTTCCTTGTATGATGTCATTCCCTCATATATTCCCAAACCCACAAATTTTAAATCCGTCTTTTGTAATCATCTTATGTAATTATATTAAGATAATAACATTCGTCGATGATTTAAATTCAACGAAATTCAAAATTTAACTTGAGCTTTCACTTCTATCACACAAAAAGCAGAGTTTATAAAAAATGAATTCTCAGCCAGATTTGCACCAACTACCAATATGGCTCAGAAGGTAAAAAATCTCTTTTCTTTTTCAAAACTGTTGATATGTATTGCATTTAAGTTAGTAAAACTTATAAATCTCTTGTTGTAAACTTTGAAGCAACACTTTTATCTAATAACACCGTTCAATGCGAAACACGTGCTTAACTGCTAGCGAAAAAGTGCAACAAGTTTCACGCAACTACTTTCATAATGTAAGTTTGGCTTAGAGCATATTTTTATCTGTGTGGTTTTGTTACAGAAGGCGTTGAGGGGGGTGGGGGGGCAGCGGGCGCGCAGGACGACGAGGAGGAGGATGAAGACACCTGTTGGCAACTTTGTATCGAGAAATTCCCTCCGCCGCTGCGCGCCCTCTGCGAGTCGCACAGATTTGAGAACTTACACGTGAGTACGTTTTATGTGGCGGTAGTTTGTTTGTTTAGGCCTCGTTCGCATAATAAGCGTGTGTATATAAATGTTTCCATAGCTGTATAGGTACGTAGGTACGTATTACCCTTTCACGTGATTCCGTATGCTTTGAGTTTTCCATGCTAGTTTTCTGAGAGGCAGTTCATTATACACTGATTTAATACTGTTCTTTTTTGATTGTTTATGTTATTAAATGTTGGCTTTAGTTATGTTTTATACATAAGATATTAAAAAAAAACCTGCAAATTGGTACTTGAAAAGTATCTACTTTTGTTTATTCAATAAACATATATGTTTTGCTCTTCAAATGTAGTTTTATTAATATATTCAATTATAAAATTGCGATAGTTTGATTTTTAACGAAAAATGTATTAAAAAGTTATATGTATTAACGAAAATTATAACCTATTTCACTACATACACACACGATGTGGCTTCCGTAGGTGAAAAAGAATTTTAAATTGGTTCAGTAGTATTGGAGCCTTTTCAAACAAACAAATCCTTCCTCTTTATAATAATAATAGATAAAAACGTTTCCACTGATAAAATAAAATAGCGGGTTTTCCACGACTTCGCCCCAGTAAATTATTATTCATTCAGTCAGTCACTATCAGAGGTCGGAATTAGGTAGAGTTGTTTATGTACTTGCATCGAAATGTTGATATTAATGTGGACCTTCGTGGCAACATCGCGCGTATTGGTATTTTGCAACTTTGGACATCCGATGTCATTGATGTAAGTTTGGCAACGTCGTGCGTGCAGTAGTTTAAATTGTGTAAAAGTAAATAACTTTTAAAATTAATCTCGGGGTTTGAGGCATATCCACTTTATTCTTTCGCTGTATGAAATCAGTGTAAGTACATGAATAACTCTACCTAATTCTGACCACTGGTCATTATACACCCGCATACGATGTAGCTTCCCGAAGATGAAATAGTATTTGAAGAACAATACAAGAAAACATACAATCGAATCTTTCCTCTTCAAATATATTTTAAGTATAGATTAGAATTTAGTATATTCAGTCGATAATTAGACAATTGTTGTATTCGTAACTAAATAATATATTTGATTCGAATAAGATAAAACTCCAAAACACTCGTTAAAATCAACATGTTATCAAGATAATAAATAAGATAACATCAACGGTAATTTGAACTGCGGTTATTGCAACTAGAAAAATAAATAATAGTTAAAATACTCGCTTTATGGACTAAATATTGCAAGTAGCTCGCAAGTAGATCGATGTTATTCTTCGTGAGTGAAAATATTATAGCCGATCTTAAGGCCGTTGGTATAATTATAGTTGGTGGTTGATACAAGAATTGTGTCAAAAATCTCTATTGACAGGCTTTAATCACATTATTGGAACACTGGTGTATTATCAGCATATTGTGAATGAAAAACCAGTTCAGTTTCGGGTACACACTAGGGCTTAATAATAGTGAGCGTACTCACAATTTGCTACCGACTTCGTTAGAATTTCTTCGTTAAAATCAATTAAAAGTTTGTTTTACAGCATTATATATACATACAACATATCTAATTTTAGAATGATGAAAACACCACCAAGCTCAACTAAGTGTCAACTCAGTGCCTAATTAATTATTTAGATTTATTTGGATAATTAGGTAGTTCTAAGACTTTATGAAACTTCATTATTCACGCAAGAAGTTGCCGCTTAGTATGAGAATTCCAGTTATGGTAAATTTCTAATTGAAAAATCAACGCCGAAGCCATCTTTCCAATTCTGGAATGTCTTAAATTGTATTTCTGGAACGCCTTAAATTTCTATTGTTATTATTTATCAAAAAGACAGATATGTGTAGGTAAGCAACCGTTTCCTACAGAACTAATGTGCAGAAACAAGATAGAAAAAGTTGATGATCTGAATTTAATAAATGAAGATTACACTGATATTATTACGAGTGTAGCAAGATTACATACAATACAAACTTATACAAGACCAAAACAAAGAAAATACTATTTCAGTATAAATATTTCAAAACATTATAGAAACTATGGACTTGTAAATTTAAATTTTGATCTATTAAATCTGTTACAACAGGTCTTCCCCGAGCTGGAAGATGCAATGATACAATCAACTTTTGTGAGTGAACATGACATATTTTTGAGACTGCTAGTCAATGTGTAATAGTAGTAAGGTATTATTAGAAATTTTGATTTCAAAAGAGAGTTTTTTGTTAATAACTTTTTTTTAGATTCAGGTAATGCTAATTACTGATGTGCATGCTTGCTTCTTGGGGTTACATTTTGATAATCAGATTTGCGTTGACGGATTTATTTTAGTATCTTTTAAAGTGACAGTAGATTTCTTTATCAGATTTTAAAATAATAAAAGATACCTAATAACGAGAAAGGCAACAAATTACAAAGTCCTTTTAAATGCTTTACTTATATAATATTACAATTATTTAATAAAACTATGACTATTTGATTATAGTTTTGATAATTGAAAAAAAGGTGGGGGTCAAATAATTTGAACTTGTTCTTCCGATTAATACAAAAAAATTGATTAAAACCTTTTTTAGTTATTATAATACCCCAAAAAACTTAAGTTGAATTTATAAAGACCTCCATTTTCGAAGCTACTTAAAAATTATTATCAAAATGTATAACCTTCGTCTATTTAGACGTTACTCGATATTCGTCTTGTTGTAATAAATTTGACCTAGTTATTTTGCTTAGTGATTTTCATCGTAATAATTTTCGATGTTATCTGTTAGTTTGCTGCGTGGACCTCTTTTGTGAGTCAATCAAGTTTACATGGGTTCATACATTTCGAGGAGCTCAGTTTTGGACATGTCTGTTGATTGTGTTCCATTCACCGGTATATTTTGATGTCATACTTTTGACAGATCATATTGTTCTCGCAATTTGTTCCCTCATTCACATTTATCTTTTTTTACACTAATATGATGACTTCATGGCAATTTTAATCTTTTTTTTTTACTAAAACCAAGGAAAACAGTGACCATTTTTCATACAGTCTTTTTGTCAATTAAAACTATTTTAATTTCTAATGTTTTATGATGGTGTGAGATTCAAATTAGCCACTAGCAATAGTCTCATGTACACTAAGCATAAGCTAATTTGATATCTAGGTCATCATACACTCATAGGTTAATTGATAATCAGTAGTAGAACTGAATGACGTCAGTAAAATTAATGTCAAACTCAAAGTCAAAATAATCTTTCTTCAAATAGACTTCTTAAAAGTACTTTTCAATCGTCCAACATTTTTTTTCCCTACCACTCGTTCAAGACGTCTTTTGGCTGATAAGAAGAACGAGCAAGAAACTCACCAGCTCTAATAAGAGTAATGACATTTACAAAAACCATGTCATTACCAGATCAATACATTATAAACAGAGAGAGAAAAAAAAACTATGGTCTTATAATGATAATATAATGGCATTTGAACCTTTAAGAAATCTATGAACATTGATTGCATTGATTGTCACTTTGCTCGTTTTACATCGTTTTCCAGTGGCATGCTATTTTTTATTCTAATAGTACAACAGCTCAAGTTTTGTTATAAAGATTGTAAACACCAACATTTTATTATTACTTATCTCTTTAGAATATAAGCTATCGTAAGTATAGTAGTTTTGGTTAGCTTATACGTTTCTACTTGGTGTTTTCCCGCGGCTACGCCCGGGTAATTTATCACCTGTGTCTACTGCGTATGATGTAGCTTCTCTTGGGTGAAAGAATTTTTAAAATCGTTCCCATAATGTCGAAGCCTATTCGATGCAAACTTTTTGATTTATAACATATTTATAATTTTGTCTAGATATAAGTTTATTTAAGAGAATAATTAAAAACATGAGCGACTGCCACCAGGTTTTACAGTACCTGTCATCCGCACCGGGCCCTGAATAATAACCCTATTTACAAAACTCTTGCTTATTTCTTTCCCCGAGCTCTCTCTCTATAATGTGTCCTTTTTCACACCATTTCTGTCTTATCATGCAATTCGTATAGCTGAGACTGCCGCCTAATTTCTATTTAGTTTTAGTACATAATTTGATAAAGGGATAAGTTATTCTATAATCAAGGCATTAGTTAAACTCCAATTTTCCAAAATATTTAGTTTAAGTACATAATTTGATAAAGTGATAAGTTATATACGTTATTCTATAATCAAAGCATTAGTTAAACTCCAATTTTCCAAAAATTTTCAATGTGCAATATTTAAGCATAATTTTAAATATAAATAAATACATATCTGTACTACCTCTATATATATTTATAGATGAATGAAATGCTTAATGAATATCATTATAATGTGTTATCATACATTATTAATAGACATAACTTCTATAATTACCACTTTTACTCACCATTTTCTGGATGATAACAATATATAATCTCATTATCGATGTTGTTTGTCTATATCATTTAATTATCCATTGTTATCTGTTTATGTATACATAATAGCATTTGTTACTGTGTGTAGGGAGTGATAGTGTCTAATTATTATGTTTCGTAGTCAAATGAGGACACAATACAAATCTGTGTTTATATTGAAAATAATTATTTCATAGAATTCTCATTGTAGTATTATGTTGTAGTGTATTAGAGTACCTACATTAGTACATTACATATAGTACATAAGTACAGCACGAGAGCGTACTTTCTCTTTAAACCTCTGAAAAATAGAAACAACAAAAGAAGCTTAAGTCAGATTGGTAGAATGTTCAGGAAATTCCAGTGTCGCGTCCTGTGCTTGAAAAATATAATTTTATTTTAAACTAAAATTAATATCAACGGCCTTGATAATTTTAAACCAAATCATCATTGTTTTCGCTAAAATGTTCAAATTCTTCAGGTAAACTGTGTTTATGGTCTAATTTACTTACGGTTAACCATTTTAACGATGGAACATCACAAAGGCCGCGGTGTAGAATTTCGAGACCTTTCCTCAAGTGGTGTGCGAAGGGTTTTGTAAT